TACTTGGTTGAAATAAATGGATTAATGGCGGTATTTTCCCTTTTTTCACATTTCAAGGTATTCCCTTTTTTTGTTTTTGTTTTCGGAAATTCCACTCATTGCCGGACACTAAACCAGGTCTAAACCAGGTCTAAACCAGGTCTAAACCAGGTAAACCAGTTCAAACCAGTCTAAAACCAGGTCTAAACCAGGTCTAAACCCAGGTTAAACCAGGTCTAAAACCAGGTCTAAACCAGGTTAAACCAGGTCTAAACCAGGTCCCCAAAACCAGGTCTAAACCAGGTCTAAACCAGGTCTAAACCAGGTCCAAACCAGGTCTAAACCAGGTCCAAACCAGTTCAAAACCAGGTCTAAAACCAGGTCTAAAACCAGGTCTAAAACCAGGTCTAAACCAGGTCTAAACCAGGACTAAACCAGGTCTAAACCCAGGTCCAAACCAGGTCTAAACCAGGTCCAAACCAGTTCTAAACCAGGTCTAAAACCAGGTCTAAACTAGGTCTAAACCAGGACTAAACCAGGACTAAACCAGGACTAAAGCAGAACTAAAACCAAGTCTAAACCAAGTCTAAACCAGGTCTAAACCAAGTCTAAACTAGGTCTAAACCAGGTCTAAACTAGGTCTAAACCAGGATTTAACAGGACTAAACCATGCCGTGTGGGCCGTGTCTCCTCCTCTTCTATCAATAATATTTTTAACACGGTTAAGTAAAGACTGGGCTTTTTTATTGTTTTTAGCAGACTTAAGTGAAGATGTCCGAGTCTTTGCTTCTCTACAGCAAAGCAAGTAATCCAAATTATTCAGATTACGTAACTCACTTTAAGTAATTTAATGGATTACGTTACAAACTACAGTCTGGGGTATGTAATCTGTAATCTGTAGGGGAATATATATTATAAAAGTAACCTTCCCAACACTGTTTCTATGACCATATATGAAAACAAAAAATTCCTTACATTCTTTCAAAAAAGCCATATTGTGGTAGCCAGGCTGGCGCCACCTAGTGGAAGTTAATGGTCAACAACAGAAAATAGAGTGCAGTATAAAAAATCTAAATGCCAAAAGAGGTTTTAACAAAGGAAAATGACACTTATTTACAACAATTTCTCTTCAGGTACAGTGCGTTTAAACTGGTGCGTGAACAATATGATGTGTCCTTAATCCACTGAGGTAGGACTATTCACTACCAATTAAATGCCGGCTTTAAGAACTCAATTTAAGTCCACATTAGCCCAGTTAAACTTAAAATAGAAAGTTAATGAGTTTTTATCATATACATGTTAAAACTAAATCACCTGTCTGCTGAGGAATAATAATGTTACTTTGCTTTTTATGGTTCAGAATCATGTTTCTAAGCAACTGGGGTCTGTACCGTAAACACGAGAAAAGTCTGATTACATATGATGTGTAGAGAAGCCAAAAGGCCAGCGTAAACTCAAAGAACTTCATGAAAAAGTTAAATAGTTGACAGTTTTGCTCACTTTTCCTAATTTGGTGTTTATGAAGTTTGATGTTTTATATTATATAAGCTCCAATATTATTTGTTACCTCCTCAAAAACAAACCTGGAGTTGTGTTTTGTTTCATTCACACATGTTTGAGTAACTCTTTATTAGATATTTATTAAATATCGTGATATCATATCGTCAAAAGTCTCTCAATAATATCGTGGACCATCACAATATATTGAATTACAAGTTTCTTTGCTTAAATTAAAACTTATGGTGCAGCAGTAACTAAAAAAACAGTAGGAACTACATTGACCATGATCCTTTGCTCCGTTTTGGCGCAAACTACATGAAGAAATAGCAGTTCTAAGCACTTTTAAATCTTAGTTCTTTGGATTAAATCTTGTCAAGGCATTTTAAGAGGAAAAAGTAGCATATTCACAATTTTGTCAGCCTCCACAAAATATCACAATAAATATCAGACCGTGAGATTTGGATATTGTTACATCTCTATTAAATATGCAGGATTTGTGTGTTAAACAAGTGTGAATGAAACAAAACACAACGCCAGGTATATTTTCGATGAGGAAACAACATTATAACATAGTGTAAATCAGAAAATAGCATGAGCCCTTTAAGATTTTTTTATTTTTTACTTTGCATTATTAAATAAGTGTTTACTTCCTCCCACTCCTTTTTCGGACACAAGTTTTTGCTTATTATTACAGAAAAGAAACTAGGGGTGTCAAATTATCGCGTTAATTGCGATTAATTAATTACAGTCATATTTAGCGCGTTATGTTTTTTAATCGCGTTAATCTCATTTTTAATCTAGTGTTTCTGTATGTGAGTTTCTTTATTATAAAACCTGTTTTTATGTGTTGTTGGGACAACAACACACGCACAAACAAAACACATTTATACATTTTTTTATTTCGGTAATTCCACTCACTTCGACTAGGACTAAAGTAGGTCTAAACCAGGTCTAAACCAGGACTAAAACCAGTGATCTCATATATAAAGCATTTCTCTATCAATAATATTTTTAATATGGTTAAGGAAAGACTGGACTTTTTATTGTCTTTAAGTAGACAAAAGTTATTATGTTCAGATTTCCTCGTCTTTGCTACTTTACAGCAAACAGTTTCTTATTCATGGAGACTTGGGCTCAACAGCCAAATTGGAGAGATTTGTTAAACAATAAATGACTTTATAAAGTCACTTTTTTAAATCTATATCAGTCTTTTGATCTGCCACAATAATGTAATAATGAATTTAAATGAAAATACCTCAAATTGAAGCTTTTCTCAGCAATTTTTAGGTGAGATTAAAATGAGATTAATTAGATTAATTAATTACAGATCATAATTAATTAATCTCTCAATTTTTTTAATCGCATGACAGCACTAAAAGAAACATTCACTTTATGTGTTATATCTATGTATTTATGTTCTCTATGCATGTTCTATGTATTACTGTCCAAAAAAACATTCATTCATTCATTCATTATGCTCAGAGGTGGTGCTACCATTAGGCAAAAGTAGGTGGCTGCTTGTGGTCCCCAAACCAACTGTCCTCAGTGCTACTAATCGCCGAGGCCTCAGAGCAATTTGACTTTCCCTCAATATGACATTAAATGAGAGTAGTTTACTTTTGAACAATAATCATGAGGAAAATAATAATAATCATATGTAATGGATCTAAACAAAAATGTTATTGTACTAGCACAAAAATAAAACTACTTTCAGCTCTGGTTTTCTAGTAGGCAACATAACTAATAAGACAAGTTTCTAATCCACCATAATTCAAATAGAAATGTGCCTGTCTCAAGAACAATGGGGAAAAACAAACAAATATATAAAAAAACAAACAAAAAGGTGAATTATATTAAGGGCTTCAAACTTAAGTTCACCTTGGGCCCCGAAATCTCTAACTCCGCCACTGATTACGCTTGCATTATTATTTTTTATAGATAATTTGATTAATTTTTTTCATTTTAACAGAAAGGTTTGCAGTTGTGTTTCATTACTTACAGTAGTTTTGTGTGTGTTTACTATATTTGTACGTAAACAGAAGTCACATAATGTTCTTTACTCGTTGAATTTCTGCCAAATAAAAAATACATACATTTTCCTTTGTTCCTCTGTTTGTTCTTGCACTTCCTAAAGCTGGTCTTATGCTCAGAATCACTCGAAGATCTCCTTTAATCCAGTGCAGACACAACAGGCTGTCGTGGAGCGTGCCTAATCTTATATCACCGACTGTCTCTGAGGGCCCAGACTTAAAGTGCATTTCACTAAAACATCGTTAACATCAACTATATTTAAGATTTGACTCAAAATTTTGCTTAGATTTGAAATGTTGGTGGTGTTTGTAACTTTACTTCCTGGCTGGACATGGGAAGCAGATGACATGACATGCATAGACATTTATAGACGCAACACTCTCTGTCTCTGCCTGTTGCTACATCCTGATCTCTTGGTCTTCACGTATAAATAAATGGTGAAGCAAATCCTCTCAGTGAAGTATGCAGAAGAATCCGTGTATCATTCGTTCATTAGTTTTTCAAAATAAAACCAAACAAAACAAAAAAAAGAACTATTTTCTTCATTATTTGTCTCCAAAACTAAAATGAAAAAATGGATGACAATTCGTTTTTTTTCAGGTTTTGATTTTGTGTTGAAATGAATAATGGAAAAAACGGATAAGGGCCGTTTCCTGGCTGGACTGAACCAGAACTGAACCAAGACTAAAACAGTACTACACCAGGACTAAACCAGGACTGAACCAGGACACCAGGACTACACCAGTACTACACCAGGAAAACCAGGACTACACCAGGACTAAACCAGGACTGAGTGGGACGGGCCCAGAAGTGCACACTGTTGCGTGATCAGAACTGAGACCGGGACCAGACCAGGACCAGGACCGGGACTGAGATCAGGATTGAAACCGGTTTAGTCCTGGTTCAGTCCGTATACTTCGCAAAAGTCCCGCTTTGCAGTTTAAGTCACAGAAATGGGAAACTGGCCATTTTTCCATTATTCATTTAAACACAAAATCAAATACTGAAAAATTGAATCGTCATCTGTTTTTTCATTTTGGTTTTGGAGACAAATAATGAAGAAAATCGTTGTTTTTTTCATTTTCTTATTCTTGGTTTTATTTTGAAAAAGAATGAACGAATGATACATGGATTCATAAGTAAATATGTATATTTCATTTTTAACCTGATAGCTGCTGTGTTCCAAACAAGAAGAATTCACTTTGCGTTGTGAAATACAGAAATACAAATTAACTGCTCTTGTCAAGCTCCACATTTCGGTCTTAAAATGAATGTTTTATTAATTAATCCGCTCTACATGATTCTGGTGCTTTTATTTTGCTATTTTGTTTGTAAATCAATTCCTATTCCTTCTCATGAGATTCATTTGACTTTAATTGCATGTTTACGATGACATATGTAGAGGTAATTCCACGGTTACCTCGCAACCATAAAGTTAACAAAAGCCAAAACTAAACCTAAACCCCGTCCAGAGTCCCGAGTCCCAGTACCTCGGTCTGGACCATGTTGACTCTTCTGGAGCGCAGTTCTCGCACACAGTTGTAGATGTCCACCACTCCTTCCCTCTCGGCCATGTCCAGCATTATGTCTATAACGATGAAGCAGCCTGTCCTCCCCGCCCCGGCGCTGCAGAAACACAAACAAGTCAAATTAAAAGGGTCATGTTACAGTATTTTTCTGATCTGTGTTATAATGTTTCCTCATCAAAAACAGACCTGGAGTTGTGTTTTGTTTCATTCACACATGTTTAACTCACAAATCCTGCATATTTAGGCTGAGTTCTTTTCTCAAACTGAAAATGCTCTGTCCCACCTTGTGATGTCGTGATAATACATGAAGTGCTCCACTGTGTTTTTAAACTCCATACACATTCACTAGAATATTATTAGTAGTACTGTACATATTTGGATGACTTCGGCCCTGAAATTGCCAGTCTCTACTGAACTGAAAAGAAAAGGTAGCTGTTAATTAAAAACTACCACTTCATGACATCACAATGTGGAACAGAGCACTTTGAGCATTGTAGATGTAGAGATGAATTAACTGGGATTACTCAAACTTGTGTGAATGAAACAAAATACAATTTTCTGGCATGTTTTTGAAATTAAAACTCACAAGAATACTTTTTGTGATAGAATAGGCTCTATTCACGCTTACGTCACAAACCAGGAAGACGTTTGGAAAGATGCCATGACAACTTCCGGTGTAGTTCCCGACACCGACTGTGATAAACCCACTGAAGTAAATGTGATCAGCAGTAAAATGAAGACTGCATACGGTTTAGAATAATCTTGAATTTAGCTTCTCATCTTTTCGAATCGCGTGTACCCAGTGCGCTCTGAGTTGTGTGTCAGTGGGGAAATGATGAAAACTGAAGTATTGTTGTAATTGTTGATTAGCCAAACATAACGGACACTACAATGACATGGAGATGAAGAAAACTGGGCCTGGGAAGCTGGACGTCTTCCTGGTTTGTGACGCAAGTGTGAAGAGAGCCTATTGAAAAACTAGAATGAGTGAACATGTGTAATAATAAAATAGAAAAAGAAAAAGCTCCAGACCTGCAGTGGACCACCATAGGTCCGGCGTTGGTCAGGGTCTTGGCCTTGACCCTGCGGATGAAGCCCAGCAGCCCTGTGGCGTGGTAGGGCACGCCGTGGTCAGGCCAGCCAGTGAAGTGGAACTGTCGGATCTCCCTGATCTCATGGGCCCCGCGCTGAGGAGAACAACCAGGAGAGCAGGGTCAGAGCGGAGGGCAGGGTCAGAGCAGGGTCAGCACACAACATGCATGTTTAGATCACAGTTGTTTTTTTATTTCATTTTATGAACATTGCCATGCTTCCAGAGTGTTTCAATGTGAGGAAAAATACCTGCTGAACCTTTATGAGCTTAAAAATCCTAAACCTTTTGATATTAAAAATTCCATCAAGCCTTCAGTTATAGATTTGTACATAATTTCATATTTTACAATGTTTAAAAGAAAAGAAACGTTTTTACAATATGCCTTAATTTACTTAACAGTGTCTAGTTACTCCAAAATGTTAAATTAGGTCAAAATAAGTGTAAAAAATCTTTACTTTACTCTCAAAATGTTAATATAACTCTTAATTTTGGGGTTAAACAGGCACTCCGGTCCACTGTGACTTTATTAACACTTCCAAAAATGTTAAATAAAACAGATTGGACCCTCACAAAGCGTTAAAAATGATTTTTTTCAGAGGAGTTTGACTACACCAAACCCCCTCATATCAACCACACAAAATATATACAACACTAAACAACAGCAGAAGAAAGAAAGTAGAGAGAAAGAGAGTAAAAGAAGTAGAGCGACAGAGAGAGTGGATACCAAAAGAATCGTAAACAGTAAAAGTTTCAAAGTCGAGACACATAAAATACAAACACACACAAGGCTGGTGAACGAAATGGAAACTTTCTATTTTCTAACAAACTCTAGCTGTTCTCCTGCTGTGACCTTTGACCTCTGCCTGGTCTTAGTTAGCTGTGGGGTGTTTACCTTCTCCACGGCGAAGGTGCGGATGACGTACTCGGACAGGAGCTCGGTCTCGATCAGGGTCACCTTTATGTCTCTGTAGATCTCTGTGTCGTCGGGCCAGTACTTACAGCACTTCACCTGTAGGGGCAGCAGAGCACACGCTTTACAACAATGTAGAAAAACAGATTTGAATTAGAAAACATTTTAAGGTAATATAGTGGCAATAAGTTAATTTAAAAGGGGCACTATGTAACTTTTTGGTCACCTGCTTGTTTCTACGGAGATGGCCTTACATTTATTCAATTATAGGTGGTTTTATAGCTGAAAAATACCAAGAAAAACAGGTATTCTGACTGTGAGCGGGTCGGCTCTCCACAGATCTGACTTGTAACTTGGTCTGGTTTGGTCTCCGTGAAAATAGAAAGGTTTAATAATGATATACTCTGAAACATTCCAGACAAAACAATAACATCTCCTTGAAGAAAAGCATTTGAATGATCTTCCACCAGAAAAGTTACACAATGCACCTTCAAAATTTTGTATAAAGTTGTCGTGGGTACTTTTTTTTTTTTTTTTTTTTTTTGGATTTTGCCATTATTTGATAAAACCAGAAACACAATAGCAAATTAGTTTGTTCCACACAGGCTTTTGTCCCTTATTCTTATTTAGAGAACATCCCAGGCTCCTGTTGGTGTAATTGTCTGGGGCACCTGTGTTTCAGACCAATCACAAAGCAGCACTGTGGTTTGGGTGGAGTCAAAGGTGAAAAGTCGACAGATGGACATACTTACGTCCTAATTTTACAAAAATACTGACTATTTTGTGCCTGAAAAATGTGCAGAAGAAAGCGCTTTGTGTATCGAATCTGTGATATCCCTATTTTAGACACATACAGAAGACATCAAATATATGAATCAACATATCGTATTTTTCAGACTATAAGGTGCACTTGAAATCCTTTAATTTTCTCAAAAATCAGCAGTGAGCCTTATAATCCAGTACGCTTTATGCATTAATTCTGGTTGTGCTTACTGACCTCAAAGCGATTTTATGTGGTACACTCTGCTCAAAAGTCTATCACAATGTTTTAGTACGACTTTGGTAAACTACAAAGCTGCACCACTTGATGGATTGTCGTAATTGAGTATTACAGGTGCAGTAGTCAGGAGCTTCACGGAATAAGTCAGACAGAAGCTGACCGCATCAGCGCAAGAGGAGCCAGACATTTTTTCAGCACTTATAGTTTATGCAAATGAGCCATGTGGTTTTAAGTTTAGTTTCTGTAAAATGTAAACAAATGTGCGCAAAGCTGAATTAAACACATTATTGCTCAATGTATATTTGAGTCAAACTTAAATTTCACCCACATTCACATACATAATACACATTCACCAAGACAGGGAGGCAACGCTGGGCGAATTACGCCTCGATCTGCCAAAGGATCGTGGATGCCAGGGCCCTGGGCTGAGTTATTGTGAATGAGTTGAAATAAAGTTTGACTTATCTGACTGTTTTGTTTCACTTAATGCGCCTTATAGTTCGAAAAATACAGTATATGGAATTATTTAGTAAAGAAAAAAGTTAAACAGCTCTACTGAATTTTTTTTTTTTTAAGAAAGTAAAGCTATTTTAAATATGCATTGTGTACCTTTTCTGGTGTCTGGAATGTTTCACAGTGTGACATTAAACCTTCCTATCTTCACAGAAACCAAACCAGACAAAGTTACAGGTCAGATCTGTGGAGAGGCAACCACACTCGCAGTCTGAATGCCTGTTTTTCTTGGTATTTTTGAGCTATAAAACCACATGTAACTGGATAAATATAAAGTAGAAGTGTTTAATGTCACACTGTGGAACATTCCAGACAGAGCAATGACATATCCATCGAAATAAGAAGCTGAAAAACGTACACACAACCGAAAATTTACACAGTATACCTCAGAAAACATATACGTTAAAAAAAAATAAAAAATTTAGTAGCGTTATTTCACTTTTATTTTATTTTCTACATAACTCCATGCATCTTACTTCATATATTTGTTGTTTTCTGTTTGGATATCAAATACAGAAAGTAGTAAAAATATAGAAAAACACTGAATGAGCGGGTGAGTCTAAACTTTTGATGGGTAGTGTACAGTATAGAATATCCACGTATTGCACCAACAGCACCATCTACACCTCATCTCACCGCAGGGGCTCATTCTTTCCAATAACGATAATTGTCACATAACTTTATACCCCATTTGCCACCTGATATTTCACATTCGGCAGCTTTTCTCCCCGTCGAAACGAGATTTGCTTCATATTAGTTTTGGCCCGCGGTCAAGACGCGTCTGTAAATGGGAGACTCAGGTATCGATGGAGAGCTCATTCGCACATTATTGCTTTTTCATTCACACATCGATAACCCGAGAATGAGTCTTAAGGTGGAAGCAGACGGAAACCAGGGCTGAGGAAATATGCAAGGAGAGGTGTCAAATTAATCTGCCTTAAAAAAGTGAAAATGATAGAATAACAACAGAGAACAGTTGTCACGATACGAAAATTTTCAACTCGATTTCGATACTAAGGAATATAATCGATACTTTATACCGATTCTGACACCACGATGATAAATTAACGCCACTCTTTAGACAACAGAATGTAGTTTTCAACATTGGAAAGGTTCATTTCTGTCCTGTAAATGTGACTTTTAGTATCGATACCTGCTCAAGTGAGTATCTAGTTTCAATACAATTTTTAGTACCAATTAGTATCTGATTTTCGATACTTTTGACAGCACTTTGACTTGAGGGATAGGGAAATGTAGCTGGATAAAGCTGCAAAAATACTGAAATATTGATATATCATATTGTTTAATATGATGATACAGTATCAATATCGGGGACTGCCGTATCAATATATCGCCAAGAGTATTTTTTTTGGTATATTTTACTAAATTATTTAGTTACAGCTACAGTTTTGTTGCTTTTTCAGTGGAAGGAAACTCATTTATGCAGCACATTTGACATTTTCATTGTTTTGATGATTAAAATGTATTGTGTTTCATTAACAAAGACTTTAGTATCACAGCCATGATTTAGTCTTTAATTTTTATTGAACCATATTGAATCGATTTGAAACATATCGCATTAAACGAAAGTGCACTGTGTCAAGATATGTATCGTGACCTATGTATCGAGGTATGTATCGTATCGGCAACTCCTTCAGGATACCCAGCCCTAGTAATACAGTACTGAAAATGTAATTACTCACATGTAGTAGTTAGTATTTATAATAGTAAAAAATAAATCACCAGTACTAGTTTGCAGCATTAGTAATAATAATAAAAGCTGTATTAGTAATAGAAGTAGTAGTGGTAGTAGTGTTTGCAGTAGTGGTAGTAGTTAAGCATGTAACAATAACCAAAATATCATGATATCGTATCGTCAAAAGTCTTACAATAATATCGTGGGCTGTCACAATATATCGAATTACAAGTTCCTTTGCTTAAATGCATGGTTTTATAGTCGTATAGTCGTTTATAATGGTTATAAACATCGGGAACTACATATCCCATGATTCATTTCGGCACAGACAACATGACGAAATATGATTTGACTTGAATTCTTAGGATTATAATGGAAACAATTCACACCCAAATCTTGTCAAGGTATTTTAAATGCAAAAAAGTGACCTATCTATATTTATATCAGCCTCTCCTAAATATTGTAATAAATATCGCACCGTGAGATGTATATCGTGATAATATCGTACAGAGAGATTTGGATATCGTTACATCCCTAGTAGTAATAATATAGTCAGACTAACAGTAGGCAGTAGATGTAATAAAATATGTTAAGAGGTGGGCAGTACTCAGAAAACTCAGAAACTGTACTTTTCAACGTATTTTACTCCTACTTTATTACTCTTTAAGTTCCTCTTTCTTGAGTAGGAGTCTTCCCAAATACTTTTTTACTCTTACTTAAGTAATTTCTTAGACTACTTTCTACTTCTTCTTGAGTAATATTATTCTGAAGTAAAATTACTCTTACTTGAGTAGAATTTTTTGTACGTCGGTTTGCAGTAATAATAGTCTTACAAAATCAGGCTCAGTAAAATCAACACTGCCAATAAATCCACCTTAAATATCTCCACCTAAAAAATGGAGCAAAGAATAAAATGTGTTGCTATGACAATCAAGTGGAAATAAAATAATGAACCCGTGATAATTACCCTGAGGAAATCTAAAAGCACCTGCTCTACACACTGCATTAGCTTTCATAGATTAGTAATGGGTATTCGTAGTACTACAGTGAAATATGTCATCCGAGGTGAGTACAGCTGAGGTATTTCGACTCAGTTACATTTCCTGGAGCACTATTCTTCTTTTACTTACCCTTAAAGTTACTATTACTTGAGTACTAGTTTCCCCAAATACATTTTTACTCCTCTTGGATCAATATTTTGTACTTCTACTTGAGTAATATTGTTTGAAGTAACATTACTCTTAATCTGTGATGTGAAAAAATAAACCCGAACATTTCCCAGTGGACAAATACACTGCATAAATAAGGTATAATAGTCAAAGAAGTAGTATTACAGTATTTGTAGTAGTACACGTTAGAAAATCTACCTTTACTTATAATGGGTATTAACTAGGGATGTAACAATAACCGAAATATCGTGATATTGTATCGTGGGGTGTCACAATATATCCAATTACAAGTTCCTTTGCTTAAATTCATGGTTTTATATTAGTAACAGCTTATGAACATCAGAAACTACATATCCCATGATTCATTTCAGCGCAGACAACATGAAGAGATATGTTTTTTACTTGAATTCTTGGGATTATGACAGGAATAATTCACACCAATATCTTGTCAAGGTATTTTAAAAGCAAAAAAACTGTCCTGTCTACAAATATATCAGCCTGTTCAAAATACTGCAATAAATATCGTAACATGAGATAGTGTTGGGCGGTAATACAATATTACGGTATCCCGAGGTATCAAAAAGTAGTAACAATATCAGTTTCATTACCGTCATCTGCAGGACATAAGGACCTAAAATAATATTATAATTTATTAATACCTAAAATTGTTTGCTCAGCACAAGTGAATGTGTGGTTGTATTTTCAGTTTAATCTGTCACAA